CGACCTGCTGGGCTCTGGTGATCCTTCCGCCTCAGCCTTCCAAGTAGCTGGAACTATAGGCGCGCACCACCACGCCTGGCTCATTTTGATTTATTGTAGAAATGAGGTCTCGCCAAGTTGCCCAGGTGGGTCTCGAACCCATGGGCTCAGGCAATCCACTCACCTCAGCCTTCCAAAGGTGCAGGATTACAGGCTGATATAACGGAAGAAACATTGTTGCATTCACTAGGTACACTCCTATCTCCTCCATTCGAATAGATGTTTGCATAAGTAAAATTTTAAACAACTACAGTTATATATTTTTGGAAAGACTAAGGAAGGAAAAAAAAGTCATGCATTTTAAAGTTTTAATCTTAAATTAATAATGTCTAGTCGGGCGTGGTGGCTCACACCTGTAATCCCAGCACTTTGAGAGGTGAAAGGGAGAGGACTGCCTGAGCCCAAGGGTTCAAGACCAGCTTAGGCAACTTGTTGAGACCTCATCTCTACAATAAATAAAAAAATTAGCCAGACCCGGTGGAACATGCCTGTGGTTCCAGCTACTTGGAAGGCTGAGCACTTTGGGAGGCGGAGGCAAAATAATAATCTGAGCCCAGCAGGTCGAGGCTGCGGTGGTATGCCGCTGCGGTGGTATGCCACTGCATTCCAACCTGGGCGACAGAGTGAGACTCCAACTCAAAAAATAATAATAATTAATAAATAGATAGATAAATAAATAAAAATTAGCCAGGTATGGTGGCACACACATGACTGGGTGACAGAGTGAGACTCTGACTCAAAAAAAAAAGTCTAATAACTCCAAGCATAAACTAAAATTAACGAAACTACTTTTTTAGGATAACAGAAGTTTCAACAAATAAGTAAGCGTAAGAACTTGTGCATACTATAACCATTCAATCACAAAAGAAAGAAAATGTTGGCTGAGCACAGTGGCTACAATATCAGCAATTTGGGAGGTCAAGGCAAAAGTACTGCTTGAGCCCAGGAGTTCAAGACAGGCCTGGGCAACACAGCAAGACCTTATCTTTACAAAAAAATCAAAAAACTTAGCTAAGAGTGGTGGTTCAAGCCTGTAGTCCCAGCTACTTGGGAAGCTGAGGCAGAAGGATCACTGAGCCCAGAAGGTCAAGGCTGCACTAAGTCGTGATTGTACCACTGCACTCCAGCCTGGGCGACAAAGTGAGACCTCAACTCAAAAGAAAGTATTAGGAGGCCAGGCTCGGTGGCTCAGCCTGTAATCCCAGCAATTTGGGAGACCAAGGCGAGTGAATTGCCTTAGCCTGCGGGTTCGAGACCCCGTCTCTACAATAAATCAAAAACTAGCCAAGAGTGGTATAGCACTCGCCTGTAGTTCTAGTTACTTGGAAGGCTGCAAGGCCGGAGGATCGCCTGAGCCCAGCAGGTTGAGGCTGCAATGGCGGGGAGCATGCCACTGCACTACAGTCTGGGCAACAGAGTGAGACTTTAACTCAAAAAAAAGAAAGTATTAGGAAAGTAAAATACATTATTTTCTGCTTTGCATAAGCAGAATTTTTTTAAAAATGTATTTAATCACCATATAACTTGTCCAAATTAAAGATAAATTAAAATTCTCAATAAAAATAAGTATTTAAATATCCAGCCCTTACAAATGTTTTCACTAAATCAGACCTTAAAGAGGTTAAGTTTTACCCAAACAACTCTTCTTCCTTTACCAAAAATAAAATGCTAACATCCAAACCACACCAAAATTTCTGCATAGGTACATATGATACTACTGTTTTTAACGATTAGTTAACTTTGTTCTAACTTCTGCAATTATAAAAAAGACAATACCAGTATAACACACCAGTTTCCAGTCTCTACTTTTTAGTGTGTACTCTGATCAGATTATCATTGTCATCATTAATGCTATTATCACACAGAACAAGATATAGATAGTTCAGATAATGTTATACATTAAACCAGCTACTGATTGCACCTGCCTATTGTTCCCTTGCCCCATAATTTGTATTTAGGTACTCAAAAGTCTATTCTTGTCATAAATTGGAGTATAAAATTTCAAGCCAAATCATAATCAATTATAGACTGACTGAAAATCCTCTTTAATAGCGATAGATTTTTCTTTTTTATATGCTAAGCAGAAGGGTCACTTTTTGTATGCTAAGCTGAAGGGCCTTTTTCTTTGTCTTTCCTGGATAGAATGAAGCACCAAATTAAACAAGTCTCTCTAGCCCTGACACTTGTAAAATGCTGCTGAAATCTTTCTAACTAGCTTTCTCAACACATCAACTTCAGTTTTTTTGGTATTTATCTTCTTCCACTTATAGCAAGCTTTTTGGTTTCCTGCTTGATTTCTAAAGGTATCTACAAAAGTGACAAAGCTCTTTGAAGACAGCTTAAACTAGTTCATAGACTGGCCAGGCATGGTGGCTCACACCTGTAATTCTAGCACTTTGGGAGGCTGAGGCAAGAAGGATTGCTTGAGCCCAGGAGTTTGAGGCTATGGTGAGCCATGGTTCTGCCACTGTACTCCAGCCTGGGCGACCAAGTGAAATTTTGACTCAAAATAAAGTTTAAGAAAATAAGATCAAATAAAATAATTCATATACCAAATAGCTCAAGTGTAAGCTAAGAGTACAAGCAATCCCCAAGCCCCATTAACTGTTTCTTCCTTGCACTTTAAGATCATTTGATTATTGCTGGTTAGGACTCTACCATTTACCAAAGAGAAAACAAAAACAGACAAGATCAAGACTGTACCATAAGAACAGTAAGAGATAGGCAACAGAAAATCTGTGAAGCACAAATTAACCCCAATGAATTTACATTCAAGTCTTCAGCAGGACACTAGACTGTATCATCAGTTGCTTGAAACTTAAGACATCCACATAACAGTCTATCAAATGTTAATCCCTAAAGACAGGCAAGGAGAGCCCATTTTTCCTTTAGCATAGGCTAAATTATTGAGAACCTACTATGTGAAAAGAACTGCGCCAAAGAGTATAGCAGAAGAGTATATGAGATGACAGAAAACACATATACTACACGCCTGAAGTTACAGCACAGCTTTCTGAAGAAAACTGGTTTGAATTTTACTTCCTCCTGAATATACCTTTCCTTGGTTTTTCCAGTGTTGGTTCTCTTGGTTCTCTTACTTGCTTTTGTTCTTTCTTTGGCTTTCCCCCCATCCTCTTAAAAGGTATTTTCCATGAATTTGCTCTCTGCTATTTTCCATTCTTCTTCCTGTACTCTCTACTCTTTCTTTGCAATATTAGGGCTTCAAAAACTACTTGGCAAATAATTCCCAAATGTTAGCCTTAAGAACTTTCCAACTACCTGCCATATTTCTCCACTTGAATTAGCACTTCAAATCAACATGTTCATAATTAAACTATCATTCTTTCTCAAATCTGCTCTTTCTTCATGTTCCTTATTTGTATTAATGGCACATCTTCCCACCAGTTCAACACCCAGAGTCAACTTGACTTCTTTCATTTCCTTGTTTTCCATATCTGATTTGTCAATTTACTGACCATTTGCTGTCAGTCCTAGTTTTATTCTAATATAAACTCCTGGTTAATAATTTAAATGTAAATCCCAGTCTTGAGTCTCTTACTATGCAAGTCCAATCTTACCACATTTAACTGCCTTTTAAGGAGTAGAAAATATAAACAATCAATGTTTACGGTGCCAAATGGAATAAAACAAAAACTCAGCTTGGATTGTAAGACTCTCCACTGACCCAGATCTAACCTATCTTTCTAACTAATTTCTTAGTTTTCCACTACCATGTTCTAGGCAAACTGAGGACTTCACCTTTTCTTATATCTACCACCCTTCTTTGCTTTCTCACCTCTCAGTCTTTGCCTCCTTGTTTCCATACTCTGAAATCAGATACAGCTAAAATGTCATTTTCTTAAGAAGTCAGTTAGACACAATAAAACTCTAACCCCAGCATATTCTCCGCAGTTCTTTTATGTCATCTGAACCCATCTTGTGCTATAGTCATTTGTGTACACAAGGGCTGAATCCATTTCCGATTTGTACTTATCTTTCTCCAGGCATCTAGTACAAATTTCTAACCTTCAGTATACCTTCAGAAAATACCTGCGTGCCTACAATGTGCTAGGTTTCTGGGGATGAGTACAGCAATGAACAAAATAAAATCCCTTCTTTTATGACATTTAAATTCCCATGAGACATATCAAGCGGTGTGCGAAAGTGCTTTGAAGAAAAATAAAGCAGACCACAAGAAGAGAGCAATATAGAATTGCTCTTTAGAGAGGATGGTCTTGAAGGCTTCTCTGACAGTTGATTTTAAAGGTGTTGAAAGTAAAGACAGGGAGTGGATCTTGAAATGATGGAACATGTCGTTATCTTTGGCTCTTCAAATAATTTTCCAGTGAATATCTACTGGGTAACTAGCACTCTGCTGGATCAGAGATAAAATATACACACCAAAATGATAATGGACAGAAAGCATTTTTATTTTGTGAAGTAAGCCACAGAAAAGGGAGAGTTATCGACCATGAGGAAGTAACGGCACCAGGTATCTAAGAGCAGTTCAAAGTGCTGACTAAAATAGTTACAGAAAATCAATTTAAGACATTTTCCTACTCAAGGATGCATCCCCTCAAAAGCTATCTTACATTTCTGAAAACCACTAGAGG